AGCGATGTGTTGTGTCTTGTAATTCCATATTATTAGAGTTGTGTGTGTCTTGTAATTCCATATTATTAGAGTTGTGTGTGTGTAACCAGTGTTTTTACCGTCAATCCTCTCCCCTATAATGGATGAGATAGCTGGAGATTTAGGACTGTTCCATACTTAAAATTAATGATCAGATCCTTGACTTTTTAGTTAAGGACGGATGAATCAAAGCCAATGATTGAACCATTAACCTTTGATTAATGATGGATGAGTCCTTTCCATTCAACCACGCCCCGAGATTATTATTAGAGTTGATTATGTATAATGATGGATTGGTAGATATGATTAGCCATTCATAGTTTAAGGTATGTGTATGTGCAATTGTGCATGATGGAGACATGCAGAAGAAAAAAAGAGTGAAAACATCCTACTTTGATCATAACAAGCCTGAAGAGGGTACATGTATCCATCATAAAGTGTGAAGCAGCTTTTCTTTATTTGCCCGTAATTACGCCATCAAGGATTATGACATCTAACTAATTTAATACTCTTTATTCTTAGGTGTAAAGTGCAAACAAAAAACAAAAACAAAACAAATTAAAATATAAACAAAAACAAAAAACCAAAAGACTTGTAGCAACGTTTTATTTATTTATTTATGTTCAAATGTGAATTGAATTAATCAACTCTACTATAAATTATGTCATGTTACGATTTTATGATGTATAGAAAAAATTAATAAATTAAAAATGGTATTTGAGTGACTACTTTGAGGAATTAATTTGAGTAGGGTTCATTCCTTGGGAAGAATTAAAATGTGTAATAGTAAATTTCATATATTAGTACAATTAAAATGTATAATGGTAAATTACAAATTGATTTTTAAACTATACTTATGAAATTGTTAAAATGAAGATTTAAAAGGCTTTGAAGAAGCATTTGTTTCACGTTAGAAGTTCGAGTGTACTACTTTATGAAGTTGCACTATTAAGTACACTCCATAGTATTATTACTTGCACTTCAAAGTTTAAGTTATTTACAAAAATATCACCATATTTTTAAAAATTATTTTTGATATGTTATATCTTTCCAAATTGACAGCTCTTATTGATTCTTAATTTTTACATGCACGCTTATTTTTATTTCATCTGAATCTTAAGTCCACACACACAAGAATTTTCTTTAAAAGTTATGATGTAATAAAAATGTAGAGATAAAAGATGAGTGAAAAGATCTTTCCCCAACAAAATGAGGAATAAGAATCCAAAGCTTTCGAAGGTATAAAAAAGGGAAACCACTACAAGAATACAACGCACATACTAAAATACAAAAATAACCAAAATAATTAAAATAGCATTTTAAAAAAAACTCCATAATAACAAAGGAAGACAACAGGTGAATGCAAAATACACACAATTTTCAGTCCCACTTGTTTCTTAGTTTTTTTTTTTTTTTTTTTTTTTTTTTTTTTTTTTTTTTTTGTATACATTTCAAGCCAAAACAAATATTGTGGTAGTGATTGTCGTACAAGCTTCATAGGTTCTTGGACTCCATATATCCGTGGCAGAAATACAAATCTAATTCACATAAAGTTAGACTCATTTACAATTATGAACAAATTAAATTAGTTTACCTTTTTATGATCATTTGTCCATTAAGATTATAATACAGAATTTACTCAATGTGCACCTTAATTGATGAAATATATTTCTCATTGTCTTAAAATTAAAAAGTAAAATCCTTTGTGAAAATATAAGTTTAGAATGGTGGAACGAAGATATTGAAGAAGCCATATGAATAGCCGGAATAGTGACAAAGTGAAAAATGTCGGTGAGATTTCAGCCGTAAGACGGTTGAATTATTATTTCTTCCAGAAATTAAAAAAAAAAAAGTTAATAGAAAAACCAGAAAGTTAAAAAAGAAAAAAGCGTAAATATTATGGCTGGTGGCGTATACAGAGCGGGGCGCATAATCATCACCCAACGTGAATATTTATCCCTTCCAAGTTCTAAAACTTAAAAAAAAAAAAAACTTTTATTATTTCACTCACAAGCCACACGCGCACCTGCACTGCAAGTGGGCTTCTACCCTGCTTGCACACGTAATTACACGCAATCAAGCGAGACCTATAACATTGTGAATTTTTATATAAGAAAAATAAGAGGAAATTTCAATTTTGGTCCTATAACTATAGGGGTCTTGTTAATTTTAATTCTTGACTTTTAAAAGTGTCAATTTAGTACCTTAACTATGTAATTTTTGTCAATTTTGGTCACTCCGGCCAAATTATTCGCCAAATTTCGCCGAAAAAATTTAATTGTTAAAATAATGAGGGTATTTTGATCATTTCACGTCTCTTTTCTTCTCCCTAGGCGAGTCCATCCTTCCTCTCTCGTTTCCGGCCAATGCAATGAACTAAGATGATGAGAAAGGAGGCTTGATGATATTAAAGATAGTGTTTACAGGGAGAAAGAACGTCGGAAACGCAAGAAAAAGGGATGGACTCGCCGGAGAAGAAGAAAAGAGGCGTGAAACAACCAAAATACCCTTATTATTTTAATTATTAAAAATTTCTGGCAAAATTTGGCCGGAGTGACCAAAATTGAAAAAAATTGTATAATTAAGGTACTAAATTAACACTTTTGAAAGTCAGGGACTAAAATTAACAACACCCCTATAGTCATATGACCAAAATTGAAATTTCCTCGAAAATAATATTGCACTTTTACATTTTACTTCTACTTTTACTGCTTTCATAAAGAAAAGTTAATATTTGACATTTTTTCTAGATCCATAAAATAAAAATTTGACATTTTATTTAACATCTTTTGTCACATCATAAAAAAAAAATTGTCTATGTATTTATGAAGAAAAAGTTCTCAGAGAATGTTTATAAATTAAGAAAAAAAATTGATAGAGAAAGTTTAGAAGTTAAGGATAAAAAAATCGTAGAAAAAAAAATAAAAAATTAAAATATACAAGTAATAATGAAGTAAAAATAATATTATTTTGACGTTTTAGACGAATATTGTAAAGTTTAAGAGAGATAAAAAAAATTGGTAGAGTTTAGGTATGAAGAAAATATAAGATAATGGAAGAAAAAATAATTTATTGAATTTAGGTATTATGTTTATAAAGTTTAAATAGGGAGAAAAATAGAGTTTAAATATAGAGAGAGAAAAAACATTCAGAGTTGGTAGAAATACAATTTTAAAATTTTAGGGTTTATGGTTGGATTATAACTATTTATATTTGAGAATGGAAGGTCTATAACACTCTTAAAATTAAAAAGCCTACAAACATTCATTACTTTTTGAACATCATAGGACTTTTAAAAACTCTTTAACAGTTTGTTTGGTTCGCTGGAAAATATTTGAAGAGAAATGACATTGAAATTCCATGGAAAATATATTTCATTGTTTGGTGTGCGGGGAAAATAAATTATTGAGAATATGAACTCCATTGTTTAGTTGAATTTAGAAAGTTAAAGAATAATGAATATAAAGACCAATATGTCCATACAAAGATCAATGAATAAATAGGCGTACCTATGTAATTAAGAAACTTTCATAACAGTAAAATGATCCAATCATGTTAAAATTTTTTCCCAAGCCTTGCGGAAAACAAAATCTCACCCCTTTACAAAGAATTTATTTTCATCAACTTTGAGGAATTCAAATGAATTCCAATTAACCAAACAACATAAGATTATATTTTTCTTAACTTTTAGGAAAATATTTTGTTTGGAAAATGTTTTCCATCCAACCAAACACCTCCTAAAAGTCTTAATTGAATACCACCCGACTTTTAATGACTCTTTAAGAATCTTGATTGAATACCGTCTAGCTTTTAAAGACTCTCTAGAACTTTGAATTGAATACATCCAAACTTTTAGGAGATTCTTGGTTGAATGTAGTTGTAATTATTTTCCACTTTATTCAATTGCAAGACAAATTACCATGTTTGGTTGGAGGAAAATGCAATTCATGGGGTACCCCCATGAATTGCAATTCAATGCTTTTGGGAAGGAAAAAATGGATGAAATGGCAAAATTACCCTTGATTATTGTTATTCTTCTTATTACATAAGGACATTTTAGTCTTTATACCACCTTTTTCCTACTCATTCCCAATAATTTTATTCCTCCTACCAAATAATGTAATTTGAATTTCTACATTATTTTTTTTCCCACCAATTGCAATTCATTTCCTTCCTAATTCCTTCATCCCAATCAAACACCCCGTTAAAGTTCATAAAAGTCTTTAAAAGTTTATAAAAGTCATGATTAAATACACCCCTTAAGAGTTTAAGTAAATAACATGATATACTTGTGTCGTTATAGACCACTTTACTTGTAATAATTAGTTTAGAATAAACAATTAATTTGTAAAACACATTTCTATAACTAATTAATATAATCATCGTTAACACAAACATTCCAACATAATAAATATTAGACATCAAATTTAATTCATCATCTTCTTGAAAGAAGAAGAGCTTGAAGTGCATCTAAAGAATAAGAATGAAATCAAATAATTCGTAACATTCGGTTCACCCACATCGAACGGAAAGGTAATAAATGTACGGATTGACTAACAAACTTAAGTTAACGATCGACTAGAGTGTCATCTTTTTGGATCACGAGCCAACAGACTTGATTGATCTTATGTCAGCTGATTCGTGTAAGACACTCTACCTAAGGGTTAGATAAGGCTCTCTCTGAGGGCTTCAGTTTCACCAAAAAAAATAAAAAATTGGAATCAAATAATTGGTATTTAGAATTGCAAATGTATGCAACCATATCTTAAGAGATTAGATACCAAATCCGATATACAATTATACATTATCGCCGTTACGGAGTATTTTTGTATTTCCTTCTTCACGTAGGGTATTGGTTATCGTGTTATACTATGATGTTTTGGTTTAAGGCGTCGAATGTCTCTGAACGCGCTGGGGAATCGCGTGAGATAACAAAACGCCGCAAAATAAAAACGTTTTTCACTCTCTCCGTCTCCGTCTACAAAACAAAGTCTCTCCCACACTCTGCTCCGCCTTCTATCTCTTTCGGAGAGCAGAGCGAGATTCTCTCTCTCTCTCTCTCTAAATTCGTTTCTCTCTCTCTCATGGACCCTTGCCGGCGGCCGGGTTTTGAATCAGTCCAGAAGTGCAGCTGTTTAAGAATTAAATAAGAATTTTGGCGTAGAGTTTTTGGTGCAAAAAGAAGAATATTATGGCGGCGATTTTGAATTCTTGGTTTCTTCTGTGGTTTGCTATGGTGGTGGCGTTACAGGTGAGTCACCACCACCGCGTCAACTCGGAGCCAACTCAGGACAAGCAAGCACTCCTTGCTTTCCTGTCGAGGGTCCCACACGAGGGCAGGGTCCAGTGGAACGCCTCCGTCTCTGCGTGCACGTGGGTGGGCGTGCAATGTGATGATAACCAGTCGTTTGTATTCGCTCTCCGGCTTCCCGGCGTCGGCTTGGTGGGGAATATTCCGGCGAATACGCTGGGACGCCTGAGCCGGCTTCGGGTTCTTAGCCTCCGGTCCAACCGGCTCACCGGTCCAATCCCGCAGGATTTCTCTAACCTCAAGCTCCTCCGTAGCCTCTATCTCCAGAACAACTTGCTCTCCGGCGGGTTTCCGGCGAGTATCACCGGGGTGACCCGACTTATCCGCCTTGACATGTCATCTAACAACTTTTCCGGGCCAATCCCGTTCGCCGTCAACAATTTAAGCAATTTGACTCGGCTTTACTTGCAGAACAATGGCTTTAATGGGACACTCCCTAGCATCAATCCTTTAAGGTTAACTGATTTCAATGTTTCGAACAATCGCCTAAATGGGTCTATTCCCACTACACTATCCAAGTTTCCGGCGTCTTCTTTCGCCGGAAACCTCCAGCTCTGCGGCGGCCCATTGCCGTCTTGCTCCCCGTTCTTCCCTTCTCCCACGCCTTCTCCTTCACTCCAGCCCAATATCCCTACGGAGCATAAGAAATCCAAGAAGCTCTCCACCGGCGCCATTGTCGGGATTGTGGTTGGCTCAGTAGCCGCCTTTCTCCTCTTATTACTCATCCTCTTCCTCTGTCTACGAAAAAGTAGGAATAGAACAGGGGAGGCAGCAAAAACGCAGAAGCCTTCGACGGTCACCCGAGCGGCGGCGGCGGCCGGGGAGGCCGGAACGTCGTCGTCAAAGGACGACGTCACCGGAGGGTCAGTGGAAGGGGAGAGGAACAAGCTGGTGTTCTTCAACGGTGGAGGCTATAGTTTCGATCTGGAGGACCTGTTGAGGGCGTCGGCGGAGGTTCTGGGGAAAGGCAGCGTCGGAACTAGCTACAAGGCGGTGCTGGAGGAGGGAACCACGGTGGTCGTGAAGCGGCTGAAAGACGTGGCGGTTAGCCGGAAAGAGTTTGAGCAGCATTTGGAAGGTTTGGGGAAGCTGAAAAACGAGAATGTGCTTCCATTAAGAGCTTTTTACTTCTCAAAAGATGAGAAATTGTTAGTCTTTGATTACATGCCTGCCGGAAGCTTATCTGCTCTTCTTCATGGTATCATCTCCCTCTCCCTCACTTTCTCTCTAATATTTCTCTAATTTTTACCAATTTTGCATCTTTTTATTCTGGGATTTAGCTTAACAAGAAGATCATGGTGTTGCAGTTATGAACATTCTCATTTCTTGAATTTTTATGGACTATAATTTTTTCCATGACTAGGAAATCTCGAGTCTGTAATGAGTAAATCTCGCCTGACCAGTCTAGGTTGTCCATAACTAGTCTTATGTTGTTGTGCCCGGCATGACCAACTTGGCTGGGTTGCGCTAACTAGAATTTTGTTTTTAGTTTCATGACAATGGGATACACCACTTGTGAGTTTTGCCAAATTTTGCCTACAGTTTTAGAGTGTTTCTCAAGACTAGATTTTTTATTTTATTTTTTTTCTTTTCCCTATCAATTATTGAAGTTTGGTACCAACATAGATTAATTTCGATTGTACGGTGTAACAGCCACAACATTTTTGTTGGTTTTTACCTAAACATATTAGATGTAACCTTAATTCAAATTCAAAGGTTGTGCTGTCATTTCATGTCTAAAATTTCAAGGTCTGCTGCATTCTTAGAATTTGCCAATGGTGAAAGCCAAATATGCCGTGTCCTATTTCCTATTATGCCCTATACCAAATACCACCTTGTTTGTTCACAATTGCTAATGAAAAGGTCAACTAAAGCAAATGGTTATATCATCATTGTTTTAGCATTTTTGCCATCCAACTTCTTGGCCTCCTTTACTTTGAATGTAAGCAATATGGCAGTTGTTATTCCTTTGCTTGTAAATCTGTCTTCATTTTCTTTCTTTTCTTTTCTTGGTGTCTAATAAATTCGGGTTTTCGGTTTGATGCACCTTACGTTTGGTTTGGACCAGTAAACCTAACTTGGATGTTTAGCTAATAGTCTTATATTGTTCGGTTATCTTGTGTAGGTAGTAGAGGGTCTGGGCGAACGCCACTAGACTGGGATACGAGAATGAAAATTGCGTTGTGTGCGGCGAGAGGCCTTGCGTATCTTCACGCGGGAGGGAAGGTAGTGCATGGCAACATAAAGGCGTCAAATATCTTGCTCAAGCAGGACAATCACGAGGCCTGTCTAGCGGATTATGGATTGAACCCGTTGTTTTCCAGCTCGACGCCGGTCAACCACAGGGTCGCAGGGTATCGGGCCCCAGAGGTGCTCGAGACCCGAAAGGTCACGTTTAAGTCAGATGTGTACAGCTACGGGGTTTTGTTGTTGGAGCTTCTAACGGGCAAATCGCCCAACCAGGCTTCGTTAGGCGAGGAGGGCATTGATTTGCCCCGATGGGTTCAAAGCGTCGTTAGGGAGGAATGGACCGCCGAAGTGTTTGATGTCGAGCTAATGAGGTATCACAATGTGGAAGAAGAGATGGTGCAACTACTCCAGATTGGAATGGCATGTGTTGCCATGGTTCCCGACCAGAGACCCTCGATGCCGGATGTGGTGAGGATGATGGAGGAGATAAACCGCGGGGGCGAAACGGACGATGGATTGCGACGACAATCCTCCGATGATCCATCGAAAGGGTCCGACATCCAAACACCTCCTCAGGAACCCCGAGCTTCACCTCCATAGGATCAAAGCAAAACAACATAAGCTATTGTTGAAATCTGCTGGAAGGCTATTCAGTCAAGTATATTACTTCCATTTTTTTGTTTTCCTTTTTTCAAGAAAATTGTGCAGTGAAATTGATAGAGATAATGGTAGTTTGCAGGAGGAAAAAAAAAAAAAAAAGAGTGTTGAATATGAAGTGATTGGAGTTGACCATTTGATGTATTCAGTTGTTCCTTTTATCATCTGATTCTTTTTGTTCAAAAACTTTATTAAGAATATATGCTTCTTTGCATTTGGCCTTTTCTTTGACTGTTTATAACTAATGGTCTATTTCATGTCTGCCTGTCTTTGTTAATTTCAATTAATTTCTTAATCCAAATACCCAAACCATTAAAAAAACATTCTTTCTATCCTAAAGTTAGCTCAGTTGATTTAACCACTTAGTTCAAATGAACCAGCTTAATTGGCGTGAGTGGTTGTACACTCTTTTTTTCTTCTTTGTTCTTTTGAGTGGTTGTGCACTTTTGTACTTCGTTCCTTTGAATGATTGTGCACTCTTATCCCTTAAAAGATCCTTTGAATAATTGTGCACTCTTATCCCTTAAAAGAAATCGAGAGTAAAAATTAAGAATGATTGTGCACTCAAAATTAATCTATCTTAAGACAGATTGAGCGACTCACGATTTATTTCCTTGAACGACACAAAACAAGTGATTATTGTTGTGAGTGAAGGGTAAAATGGGGATATGGAAAAGGAGAAGTCGAGGGGCACGGGGGTTTTGTCTTGTTACGGAGGACAGGCTGGGCGGCATTTGTCGCTGACAAAGTGAAGACAGGTTTGACTGATGCCATGTGTCAAACCACAACAAATCTTACCTTCTTTGGCCCCTCACCCAACTTCACGCGCTTCCCTTACTCAATTATCGCCCTCTTTTGCTTTCAAATACACTACATTTTTATACTAAAATTTTTTTCCGTCTTTAATAATACATTTTGGTAAATGAATGATTACCATAATTATATTTAGTAATTTATTATATCTAAAATTTTTATTTTAATAATATTAATTATATCATAATTATTTATCTGATATGATAAGCTAACTTTATCAGCTATGAACTCTACAACTATAATTTTTTTTAAATAAAAAAATATTTTAATATAATTAAAATTTTAACATTGAGTATTAATATTGGACATTTATTTTTACGAATCGCGCATATAAAATACTAGTGTGTAAATAATAGTTGTAACGTTTTTATAAATAGAGTAATAATTTTACTTTCATTATGTATACAAATGTTTTTTATTTATAAAAGTTGTCATTCATATTATTCATCATTGTACTCCGTAGTGTTTAAAAAAAAATTACGGAGTAATTATTATTTTCTTTCATAAAAGGATATCATATAAACATCATGAGACGAATATATATAGTACTGGATGTGTAAAAAAAAAAAAAAAAAAGAAGAAGCAATTCATCCGTCAGGATATCCTGAGTACAATATTGTCAGTCAAATATTATATATTTTCCTTTTCTTTATTCGCATTTTCTATCCACATTGCAAAATCAGCCTTAGTTTCTATAACATTTTTTTGTTGTAATTCATCGTATTTATTTGAAGTTAAAATTTGTCACATTGCAAGGTTAACATTTTTTTGAATGCTATTGACTCTATTACAATGTAGTATCTATTCATATACTTTCTCAACCTACTGAAACACAAAAAAAAGGCTCAAACTCACAACCTTCTAAATGAAAGTCCAACCCGGGTACCATTAGACCACATATTCTTGGTATTGTAAGGTTAACATGTTAGTTGCAAATTGCCAAATTATATTATTAATTTTTTAATTTACAAGAAAGTTTGTAACGATTACCTAAAAGTGCATTTTGAGTGAAATTTGTCTTTGTAATTCTGGCTAAAAATGGTCACACGGCAACCAACAAAAAATCACAATTAAATAAATCAGTCAAAGTTACCTATAGTTGACCGAACCAAATCGATCAAGAATGGCAATAGAAAATTCTCATGATATTATAAACTCTTACATGTATTAACCAGGTGAGTTCCGCATAGTCAAATTTTATATTTAGTGTGAACTAAATCAAATGTGTTTATACTTTATATTATAGTACTTTAGAGATCTGTTAGTGCAATGAGGGAAAAATCAATTATTACTCTATTTATAAAAATGTTACAACTTTAAAATCAATTATTTCACTATAATTCAGGGACAAAAATTAATTAGTAAATGCAGCGATAAAATTGAGGCAGGAGGTTTCAGATGTTGTAAAAGAATTTATAACTCATAGGATCCCCTCGTAAAAGACTCACAAAAGCAAAAAATGGGTCCAATTTCTGGTGCTTCCACTTGAAATTGGCTTTACAACTTTATTAGTTTGGCATCCTTTTTTCCCCTAGTGGGACTTTTAATAAAAACATTGCAGGCATTTGATACAAAGTAAAAAAATAAAGTGGGCTGACCTCTTTCTTTAATCATCATAATTTATCTTTTCAACTATTGGGAACTATGAAAAAGCTAAGATTTCAACCATGGAGGATAGGAGTAACCACCTGAATTTGTTGGATAGTTAATTTGGTGAATATAAAGTTTCAAGTTTGATTTTGTGTGAAAAGTGTTTATTGACTTTTTTGATTTGAGCCGATCAACTATGCGCAACTTAAACTGGTTTATCTCTTTGTGATTCTTTGTCAACTAGGGTCATAAGGTGAACATCTAAAACTCACATTCGAGTAGCTCTTAATTAGAATTATTTTCACTTTTGATCACATAACTATTATGTTACTTTTGTATTTAGTTTTTAAGTATTAATTTTAATTTGTTACATTTGGTTAATGACTTTTATTCTTTTTGTTAAATTCATCCTTTCACCTAAAAATCTCTTATGAAAAATAATCAAAATGCGTAGTATTGTCATACAAAACTATACATTTTCTTCCCCAAGTGTTGATATGGTCAAATCAGTATGATTTTAAATTAAAAATGGAATGTATTGTGATTGTTTTCTACAGAAGATTTGGTCAAAAAAATTAAATGTGGTAAAAAAAAATAGGGAAAATGGCACTTTTTCCCTCTAGTTATATACTTATAGTCATTTTCCCCCCCTCACTTATTTAGGTAAGCACATTAGCCCCCTCAATTATTTTAAAAGTGGTGATTTTTCCCCCTGATATATTAAATTGACATTTCTACCCTTAAAGTAAACATTTTATTTATTTTACTTCTCCAACAAATTATCGCGTATACGTAGGGATGACCACGGTTCAGATCAAACTGAACCGGACACTATAGCAATTGAATTAAAAGTTTCCGGTTATGATTCAGATCTAGAACCTAATATTTGGATTTCAATTTATTAAAATTATGAATAAAAAAAATTGGATCTTGAACCGTGAATCGGCGGTTCTGGATCCGGTTCGCGATTTTGAACCGTCTTTATTTTAAAATTTTATTTTTTATTTTAAATAGTCTAAATTCAACAATAAATGTATTTTATTTTTTCAGTTCGGAACATGAATCGTCCGTTCCGGTTCGCGATTTTAATAAACTCTAAATATCGAGTTTCGATTCTAAATTGTAATTGGTTGTTATAGTGTTTGAACCAAATTATTGTCATAATTTGTTGGAGAATGAAAATAAATGAAATATTTATTTTAAGGGTAAATATGTCCATTTAACATTTTAGGGGGAAAAACAGCCACTTGAATAATTGAGGGGGAGAAAGTGCTATAAGTATATAACTTAGGGGGAAGAAGTGCCATTTTCCCAAAAAAATAATATTTAAAGATCGAATACGAAAGTATATCCATCATATAGTACTAAAGAAAATGAAAATAGTTTCATAAGACTAAAAATGAAAATAGTCCATGCCAATTATTTTGACCCAAAACTTAATGGATGTAAAAAATGCTAGGAAGAATGTTTAATTATTTGCAATAAAGTATAGAATGAATGTTTCATTGATAAATCAATGTAAGACCAAATACCTCTATTTATAGGTCAAGAACTTGCCCATACATAGGGTGTGTATCATCCCCAATTAGGATTGGGTTCTAAAATATCCTAATTTTATAATACAATTACTATTTTCGTTGATTTCCCATGAACAAGTCTTTGTGGGGATATCAAACCGCAACTCTGAATTGTATTTTTCTGCTTGAATATGCTTAAAATGTTTTATATATAAACTAGCTTACTTGCCAACCTATAATAAGTAATACCCCATCTATATATCTATATATCTATATATATATATATATAAAAGTAAAATCCTCCTAACAAATTTCCCCCCCAAAACTTTTGTAGTAAAACTTATTTGGTAAGTAAATGTCAAATAGAAAATAAATAAATAAATAAATAAATAAAAATAATAATGTTATTACCTTAAATAAATAAATTATTATACTTTCCTTTTGAATTAGTATTTTCTACCTATAAATACAATGACTTCTTCAATCAAAGAATCTCAGACTCATCTCTCTGCTTTCTTTTTGTATGAATTTTTTACATTTTTCTAACTATATTCTCACGTACTTCAATATGTTTTGCAGTTTATATCATCTGGTATGAGTTTGAAGATACTTAAGGAGGCTCTGCTTCAACAGAGGGAAATTGAGGAGGAAGAGCATTTGTAACAGAACCCTATTGGTTTAGTTTTTATGGAAGATTGTAGAGATGCGATTGAGGATGATAAAGACAGTAATTTTGATAATTTTGTAAGATTTTCTGAAACTTAGAGTTAGTATGTTGACTTCGAGATTTGTACATGTCATTCAAGTTTCTATGTTTTTTTTTTTTTTTTTTTACCAAGCAGAGTTCATTTTACAGCATTTTTTATAATATATATATATATATATATATATATATATATCACAACTTGAGTAGAGTGTTTGTTTAACCTGTTAAAAATCTCGCTATATTTGATTTTTTCTAAATTTGTGTAAAACACAAAAATAATGATTATTTAAAAAGAAGAAATAAATAACAAATACAATTTCAGATTTTGTGTTACTCCATTCACATATTAGTATAAATAAATAAAAAAGTAATAAAATAAAATACAAAGGAAATATAAATTTTTAACCAAAAATTTAATTAGAGAAACCTCCCAAACAAATCCACGTTGTACTAAACCCAAATAAAAAAATACTGGCAATGGCACAATCATAAGGATCAAAGGGAACAATCGAAGACCCAGAAATCCAGACATCATTGATGTACCGAACGATGATGAGAGACTCAGAAATAGGAATATCATTATGAATAAAAACGGAG